AAGAGTAGTCATGAAGTCATACAGCATGGAAACGGGCCCTTTGGCACAACTCGTCCATGCGGACCCACTTTCCTAAACTAAAATAGTCCATTTGCCGGCATTTTCCCCATATCTCTCTAAATGTTTCCTATCTATGAACCTGTCTAAATGTCTTTTAAATGTTGTAATTGTACCTTTCTTTACCACTTCCTCTGTGAGCTCGTTCTACGTACGCACCACTCTGTGTAGAAACAGTTACCCCTTGGGTCCCTTTTAAATCTTGCCCCGCTCACATTAAACCTATGCCCTCTGTTTTTGTATTCCCCTACCCTGGGGAAAAGACCTTGATTATTCACCTTATCTATGCCCCTCAGGATTTTATAGACCTCTATCAAGTCACTCCTCAGCCCCCTACACTCCAGTCCTCGGCTGAAAGTACTGAATTATGGGAAGGTGAACTGCCACGAGACGGGAACTGGGGCTGTTTGAGGGTATATCCACATGTCATGTAGGAATCTTTTAAAGGATAGTTGACTAGAGGGTCAGCATCAGCATGTTCCTGTGAAAATGAAGGATAAGGATAGCAAGATTCGGGAGCCTCAAGTTGAGAGTTTAGTCAAATAGAAAAGGGAGACGTAAAGTTTAGGAAACTGAAGGCGCATAATCCTTAAAGAAAACAGATAGCAGGAAAGAACTCGAACAAGGAATTAGAGCTAAAAGTATAAAAATTGGCAAGTCATGTTGCAGCTGTATAGCACTTGAGTTAAGTCATTATTTAGAATATTGTGTACAGTTCTGGTGACTGCGCTACCAGAAGGATGCCAAGGCTTTGGAGAAGGTGCAGAAAGAATTTACCAGGATGTTGCCTTGGTCTGGAGGGTATTCGTGATGAGGAGAGATTGGACAAACCCAGTTTGTTTTTACTTGAACATCAAAGGATGAGGAGTGATCTGATAGTTTACAAAATTGACTATCTGTTCTATTCATGGTAATCAATCTTTCTCCCCTGGGCAGAAATGTCCCTTACTAGGGCACATAGATTTAAGGTAAAAGAAGGGTAAGTTTAAAGGAAATGTCAGAAGCAAGTTTTTTTTTTCCCAGAAGGTAGTAAGTGTCTGGAATGCATTGCTAGAGATGGAGGCACATCCAGTAGCGACATTTAAGGTGCATCTTGATACATATACAAATAGGTAGGGAGTAGAGGCATAAAGACTGTGTAGAAGCAAAAAGATTTTTATTTTAGAAGGGCATCATTTGTCAGTGCTGCCTTGGTAGGCCAAAGGGCTTGTTCCTGTGCTTTGTCGAAATGAAGGTGGTTAAGGGTGGTATAGTTCAGGTTTTGGCATTTAACATTTAAGTTATTGTAAAGATTAACAAAAGTTTATTGGAGGATCTAGGATAAGGAACAGTACAGCCTTCAGATAAACTTCAATGAGGTAAGAAATTAGAAAATACTTCCCCTCAAAGATGTGGATCTCACCCCAGAAAAATCAATAGGTGAATTTTTTTTAAGTGATGTTGTAAAAGGGCACTTCTAAAAGAGCCAAGAGTAGAAGGGGTTGCAGTTTAAATTTAAACTTGTATCCATTTTAAGTTGTTGTCTAAATAACTGGTCACAACTTTTGATCTCCCATGATTTTAATTTTGTTAACTTGTCTGCCTTGATGTATTCAGCGTCATTTACATTAATATATTGTCATATAACTATACCTCAAAGCTGGGAACTAAATATTCAGTGTTATGTGACTTTCTTTGAAAGGAAAGAGCGGTGGGGTAGCATTGTTGATCCAGCTCTGAATGAGTACGATAGCAAGAAATGATCTTTATTTGTAAGATGTCGTCTACATGGATGGAGGTAAGAAGGAGGAAAGAAGGCACAGGTAGGTGTAGCTTATGGGCCCCTTAAGAGCAGCAATATGGTGGGACAGAAAATAAATCTGGAGATAATGAGGGCATATAACAAAGCACATTAATCACGGGTGACTTTAATCTTCACATTGGGATAGTCAGATTGGCAGAAGAAGTCATGAGGAAGAAATCATAGCATTCAGAACAGTTTCCACAAGTTGTGGATCCAACCAGTGGTCGGGCTGTTTTGGGTCTGGATACGTAATGTGGCAGGTTCGATAAATGATGTCAGCATGGAAGATTCCCTTTGCAACAGTGACAATAAGATGATAAAATTTAGCATTCAAAGTGAGAGGGAGGAACTTGGCTAAGAAACAACTAAATCTAAATAAGGATAATTACAAAGGTTTGAAGGAAGAGCTGACTGAAGTGGACTGGTGAATAAAGTTTAGCAGCAAAGATTGCTGAGGAACAACGGACATTATAAGAAAACAATTCATGACTTCCAGCAAAGACATGTTCCAGTGAGGAATGAGGTTTCTAGAAAATGAATGAGCCGACTGCGGTTAACCAGGGAAGTTAACGATAATGAGATTGAAAGAAAAACAAAGATTAGAAATATTTAGATTAGAAAAATTAGAAATAAGTGGCAAAGATTAGAAATAAGTTAGAGGTTTGGAAAAGTTTTTAAAAGCTAACAAAAGATGACCAAAATAAATGAAGGATAAAATAAACTGAGGGTCAATCTATGAGTAACATCAGGATGGACAGCAAGCACGGTGACACGGTGGCACAGTAGTTAGCACTGCTGCCTCACAGCGCCAGGGACCTGGGTTCGATTCCAGCCTCGGGCGACTGTCTGTGTGGAGTTTGCACATTCTCCCCGTGTCTGCGTGGGTTTCCTCCGGGTGCTCCGGTTTCCTCCCACAGTCCAAAGATGTGCAGGTTAGCTAATTGGCCGTAGTGTTCAGGGAGGTAGAGGGTGTATATTAGGTGGGTCATAGGGGGATGGATCTGGGTGGGATACTCTGAGGTTCGGTGTGGACTTGTTGGGCCGAAGGGCCTGTTTCCACACTGTAGGGATTCTAATTCTAATTCTAATTCTAATTCACTCCTTCAAACATTTTGAAAAAGGAGCATGAAACCACAGTGAAACTCTGTGGAAAATGAGGCTAGGGAAAGAATGAGGAACCAGGAAATGGCAAATGAGATGAGTAAATACTTTGCACAAGTCTTTACAGTAGAAGACAGTAATCAGCTAATTAGCCAACATTTCCTCTGCTGCGCAAGCGTGCAGCTGCTGCATGGTTCCCTACATTGTGGCATTGACTTCCAGTTTGCAGAAGTCACTACTGCATACAGACCTCTGAGGCCTACAGAGTTGATAAGAAAATTAGAGGAATGCTCTAATAACAGCATTCCAAATTTCCAAATTGTTTGAGGGGCAAAAGGGGGCGAGGAAACTAATAGGGCTCAAGACCAATAATACCTGATGAGATGCATCCTCGGATATTAAGTGAAATAACTGCAGAGATAGTGGGTGCACTGGTGGTAATCTTCGAGGAATCCTTAGATTCTGGAAGAGTCCCAAAGTCTGTAGGACAATTGAAGACTGGCTAATTGACTGGACAGAAACTTGGCACGTGGCATATAATGTGGGGAAATGTGAGGTTATGCACTTTGGCAGAAAGTCTGCAGAAGGAAATGGAACAGAGGGATTTGGGAGTCCTTTTCCATGAATCATAAAGTGAGCATCAAAATTTACCAGGTATGGTGATAACAAGTAGAATATTGACTTTTTTTTTTATTTTAAAGGGGGTGGAATATAAAAGTAGAGAGGTTTGCTAAAACGTATAAGGCACTGTCAGACCATAGCTGGAATACTGCGAAAAGCTTTGGACCTCTTTAATCAAAGGAAAGATCTACTGGCATGGGAGGCAGTCCAGGGAATGAGCTACCCTCTTACGAGGAGGTTGTGTAGGCTGGGCCTGTACCCATTTAGAAGAATGAGTGTTGACCTTGTAGGAAAATATTAGGTCCTTAGAGGACTTGATAGATGCAGAAACGTTGTGTTCTCCTGGGGAACAGTCGAGGATCAGAGGGCACAATCTCAGAATAACAGACAAGTGAACCTGTGGAATTCTTTACCACAGAGAGCTGTTGCAGCAGGGTCATTAAAGGTTACGGGGAAAGACCGGAAAGTAAAATTGGGAGTATTCAGATCAGCCATGATCTCATTGAATGGCAGGGCAGACTAGGTAAACTGAACAGCCTATGTCTGCTCCAAGGTGTGCATCCTGAAAGCACATTTCTGCCTCAGAATCATATAAATGGAAATAAATTGAAAGAACATTTCTCCATGTTTATACAATAATACTGAGTTGTAATCTGAAGGTAACCAGTGATCTGGTTGCATGAATACAAGCAACCCAAATGGCCAGCCTTCCTTTGTGTATTCAGTCTGTGGACATTGTCAAACTAAATCAACTGCAGACTCGTGAACATCATCGCCAAGCTTGGAACTCTTACCAGTTAGGTTGAATCCCAACCACTGCCATGGCTAAGGCTGGACAACAGTAACAATCATGACTGAATCTGACCTGCTCTCTGTCAGAATACCTATGTGGCACTTCCAGGCTAGATTGTGAAATACTATTGAAGTTATGTTGTGGTTTACTTTGTCTTTATTCATTCGTGGGTTGAGGACATCACTGGCTAGGCAGCATTTATTGTCCATCCCTAATTGCCCAGAGGGTGTTTAAGAGTCAGACACATTGCTGTGGGTCTGGAGTCACATATAGGCCAGACCAGGTAAGGATGGCAGTTTCCTTCCCTAAAGGACATTAGTAAACCAGATGGGTTTTTCCCTGACAATCGGCAATGGATTCATGGTCATCAGTAGATGCCTAATTCCAGATATTTATTGAATTCAAATTTCACCATCTGCCATGGCGGGATTCGAACCCAGGTCCCCAGAATGATATCTGGGTCTCTGGTTTAATGGTCCAGCAATAATACCTCTAGGCCACGCCTCCACTTTTGAACCAGTTTAAACTTGATCTGATGTTTCCAATTTTTGTTTCACTCGAGTTAACTATGCTTTGTATTAACTAACGTAACTTTAGCTTGATTTTGAGTTGATTACATTGAGTTTGAAATCTTTTGGGCCTTAGGAATGACTAAAAGAATAATTAATGCGAAGATTGCATGTTTGGACTTCAGCCTACAGAAGACAAAAATGAAGTTGGGTGTTCAAGTTGTCATCTCAGACCCAGAAAAATTGGACCAGATTAGACAAAGGTACTGCAGAATTGAAGCTGGAGATGGGGATGATGCTTTTTACTATAATTTATTGTCATTCAAGTGAACACTGAGATGTTTGATTTATAAATTGAATTGTTTTTAATTATTCTGAGATTGTAGTTAGGAATTTTCAGGGTTTTGTTTGTAATTGGAGTTGGGGGATTATCTCTTTTCCGCTCCGCCTCTTTTTGTATTTGTCTGAGACCTGACTACCTTAACTATTTCTTACAAAACTGCTAATTACTAAGAAGGAAATTTGGATGGTTCCTTCACATGCTTCTCTGGCTCCCTGTCAAACCTGCCAAAGAGAAACATTGTTGGCCTATTCTGTCGTTGCAGATCCCATCATTCTTTTCTGTCAAGTGTTTAGAACATCTCCAGAATCTCTCTCCATTTTCCTTGAAGGTGGTTCAAAACAGAACTCCATTTCTGCCTACTGCCCAAGCATTAAAACTGTCCTTATTGAAGATGCATTAGTCCTGTGTGACTGTTTCATTAAGTGACTCTCTTTATTCTTGGGGGTTGTTGTTAGCCATTGATAGGCTGGCTATACCATCACTGTTGAATCCCTCTCCTCCTTTGGCCAGCTGAGTGGTCTCGCTCCTATATAGCTGGTTATGGGCAGCAAGTCTCTGGCATGACTTCTGTTCCTAATCCTGCGTGATTACTTTTTGAGGCTCCAAGGGCAATCTGTTTTGTGTTTATATTTTGCGTTGAAATTTTGGAAATTCAGGAAAAACAATCTGGTCATAAGTATGCCTATGGTCTCCAGCTCTACCTTGCCACCACCACCTCCATTGTCTGTTTTGTTGCTAGTCAACATCTATTGAGAAATAAAATCATTGTCTTATCCCTGCCACAAACTCTGTTTCTTTGCCTCTGATGCCATCTCTCTCCCTGGCTGTCTCCCCATCTCTCTCCCTGCTAGGAGGCTAAACTTGAAGACTTACAACATTTTTGGATTGCCACTTGTGACTCTGAACTGAGTTTCTGGCCCTATTTCCTCATCTTTGCCAAAAAGTGCCTTTATCCTCTGTCATTGCCTTTCTCTGCCCATGTCAGCGCATGGTGTTGAAGCTGTTATTTATTTTGTTGTTTAAACTTGACACCTCCAATTCAGTTTGAGGGAGGGGGAAGTGGATTCAAGGCTGACGTTTTAAACCAACGGGTTCAATTATGAGGGCATGAACTGATTACTGACCAACTTCTTAAACTAATTAGTGATGTAGTGGCAGACATTTTAAGAAGTTCAGAGTACACAAAGATGCATTCCAACAAGAAAGAAAAGCTCCAGCCATCCATGGTTAACTAATATAGTTCAGGACTGTATAAAAATCGATGAAAAAGCATGTAATTATTAGGCACATTATAAAAACCAATAAAGAAAGACTAATGAAGAAGGAAAGGTTAGGAACAAATGCTAGCTGGAAAAATAAAAATCTAAAAATATTATGGATGGAATTTCTATAAATATTTAGGAAGGAAGAGATTTATCAAAGTGAACAGGGAAGTGAGTTTGGGGAATTAATATCAGATTAATTGAATAGGTGACTTGCATTGGTCTTCGTTAGAGGATAGATATAACATCCCAGAAATGGCTGTTAATAAATGGAAAGGGGGTTACAGTCACCAGGGAAATAGTACTGAGCGAATGTTTTAAGAATAAAAAACACTATTTATCTATTCCACCGTTTCGTTGATCTTATCATTCAGAATCCAGACAGCAATAAGTCTCAAAAAAAAAAGTGTAATCCAATGTGCAAAAAATGAATCACTTCCAAAGTATTTAACAGCAGGACATCAGTCAGATCAACAACCTTAAGACTGCAGTGGACTAATCCCAAGTCTGAACTACAGGAGTGACTTCCATTGAAACTATTCCTTTCTGGGTCAGAAGTCACACAACACCAGGTTATAGTCCCGCAGGTTTATTTGAAACCACAAGCTTTTGGTGCATTGATCCCTTGTATGATCTTTTGATCTCTCTACCTATACATTCTGTGCTTGTGTGCTTCACTTCACCGACGAAGGAGCAGCACTCCGAAAGCTTGCAATTTCAAATAAACGTGTTGGACTATAACCAGGTGGATGAGGTCAGAAGTCACATGACACAAGTCCAACACTGGTACCTGCACATCATGGTCCCTACTGGGGAGAGCAGGAAAGGGAACTGTAGCTAAGATATCTGCTCCAATCTTTCTGTCCAGACAATTGGATTCCTGCATTTGTTATCGCTGTCAAGTACTTTGTGTGTTTTGATTCCTGATTTCCTCCCCCCCCACCAAAAAAAAATTTGCTTAGGTCACAGTCCAGCATGATCTGAAACTTGCCATCCCTTATCACTTGTTCAGCAGATCCCTTCACCAGTCTTTGATCTTGAGATTTCAGCAATCCATCAGCTGTGCAGAATCTACACTGCTGCAATTCTGATTTTCCCCTTTTGAACTTATTTTTGTGTAAACGTTTTCCTTTTTGCTGTTGCTTTCTCCGCTATCTTACCAGTGGTATTAGCAGTTACTAGGAAATAAACTAAAACCGGCTTAGTGTAACCAATCCGATGGTAACAATCTTGAGCCTGAATGGTGAGCTAATGAATCACTGGGTCCTGATTGACTTAATCCTAATTTCAACAAAGTGACTAGAGAGAGAGTTGATGCATTGGTTTCAGTTGCCTCCGGCAACACATTCCAGGCACTTATCGCCCTTTTTTTTTTTTAAAATAATTGCCTCTCCTGTCCTTTTTAAAATTAAACTTCTACCTTAAACCTGTGTCCTTGAGTAATTGACCTTTATATCCTAGGGAAGAAACTGACTATCCATTCTATTCATGCTACACATAATTTTGTAAACTTCTTTCAGGTCACTCCTCATCCTTCAACATTCAAGTAAAAACAAAGTTTGTCATACCTCCTCGTAGCTAATACTAAGCAACCGTTTCTGTACTTTCTCCAAAGCCTCCACATCCTTCTAGTATTGTGGTGACCAGAACTGTATGCAGTATTCCAAATGTGACTTAACTAAAGTTCTATACAGCTGCAACATGACATGCCAATTTCTATACAGTGCCCTGATGATGAAACTAAACATGCCATATGCCTTTTTACCCACCTTATCCACTGGTGTTGCCACTTTCGGAACTGTAGAACTGTGTACAGACACCTATATCCCTTTGTATTATTGATGGTACTGAGGGTTCTGCCATTTACTGAATAGTGAGGGTAAATTCAAGTAACCTGTTCTGGTCAATATACTATGGTAATATTTCCAGAAAACCTTTAAGGTATACTTAATAGACTACTGTGAAAAATGAAAGCTTATGTAAGTGGCAACATTGTCGAGCTAAAGACAAACAGTTGTAGTAGGCTTTTTTCTCCTTTGTGAGATGTAAGTGTAATGTGACAGAATAATGCTGGGGCCTCAAGTTTAAAACTTATATTTATGTAGAGTATTAGACAAAGAGGCTGATGGTATGATTGCTAGATTTGCTGATGACATAGCTTGAAATGCAGAAAGTTAAATGAGGATATATGGAAGTTACAAATAGATACAGGTTTAAAAAAATGGACAAAGGATCTGGCAAATGAGTATACTGTGAGAAAATAAAGAATTTTCCTGCCAAATGGACAAGTGAAAAAGAAGCATGCCACCTAAATAGTGAGAAATGGCGGAGCTCTGAGATGGAGGGATCAGGGTGTGCTAATGCATGAATTGCAAAAGTTAGTATGCAGGTACAGTAAATATTTAGGAAGGCTAATGAAACATTATTATTGTTCATTGTGAGGGGAATTCATTACCGAGATAGGAAGGGTTATTCTTCAGTTATATTAGGCATTAGTGAGACCATATCTGGAGTATTGCTCAGTATAGGTCTCTTTATTCAAGGAGGCATGTAAATCTATTGAAAGCCGTTCAGAGAAAGTTTTCTAGGCTAATAATTAACTTGATTGAACTATCCAAGATCTTGAGGGATCTTGACATGGTGCATGTGGGAATGGTAATCCCTCTTTGATAGAATCTAAAACTAAAGGTCTCCATTTGAGACCGAAATATCTTTCTTGCTGATCGCTGAGTGTCTTGGAGTGCTGTTTGTCAGAAGTGAAAGTAGGGTCTTTGGATTTTTACAGCAGAGGTAGGTAGATTTATGATAAGCTGGATTATCTAGCTAGATGAAAATATGGAGTAATCGGGTTAGCCACGCTCTTAACAAATGGCAGGGCAGGCTTAAAGGGGGTTAATGGCCTACATTTATTCCTAATTTGTATGTACTTGACCCCTTGACTAGCCTTTTAACTTGCACCTTTTCAATGCCCCAGTGCTCTCCCCAAATCCTACCTCTTACCAATTTGTCACCCATGCTGGTTCATTTGTCACCCATGCTTGCGCCCGTTGTTGGCCTGATTTTGTTTCTCTGCAGTCCTTAGTCCCTTATTTTCGAAACTCTTTCCCATCCCTACATTTATACATGCAAGACTCTTAAATATTTGTGTGGGATTTAGGCAGTTAAACAGTTAGATTTTGTATAATTTAATTCCTTCTATAAATACATAAGTGTATTGTGTATAAATGCATCTTGCTTTTGTTCCTGTAACAGTAATTAAAAGTGATAGCTTTAGCTTTTTGTGGTCAAGTTTGTAATGATCCCTTCCTAAGCTCGTTTTTATCAATTTGCCTGAGATCAGCTAATCAGAAGCCTTCTGAATAGCTTCAATGAAATCACTACATTTGTGTTTAATGTTTTGGTAATTCTTTTTCTGGATATCCAATTGTTGGTATTTATGGTTGTGGTTTTATTTCAGAGAATCTGATATTACCAAAGAGCGAATTCATAAGATCTTGGCTACAGGAGCAAATGTCATCCTGACCACTGGTGGCATTGATGATATGTGCCTCAAGTATTTTGTGGATGCTGGTGCCATGGCAGTCCGCCGATGTCTGAAAAAGGACTTGAAGCGAATTGCAAAGGCAAGTGGGGGTAAGTTGAAATTCTGACTTGGCAACTCTTCCTGTTTTGGTTTCACCTTGCTGTTATCAGCACATTTTTTGGAATATATTTGGAAGTATGTTTGTTTATTTTGCCTATTCAATTTTGAAGGGCATTTTTTCATTGTTTCTAGAAGATGAGCATTTGCTTCAAATTGTCTTTATATATATTTTTAATCAACCTGTCAAGATATGTTGTTATGCATCTCTGGAGCTGGTGAGACTTGAACCTGAGCCTCCTGGCTCAGAGGACAGGTCACTATCACTGTGTCACAAGACCCCCTAATTGTATGCTTTTTAAAGATCAAATATGCAGTGACAAAATCTTGGTTGGGGGGTGGTGGTGCGGAAGAAACAACATCATCTACTGGTCAGGTGGTTACTACTGACTGCAAAGCCCATACCTGTTTCCATCCTTGAGCCAAGTCACCCTGTCCACGGAAGGCACCAAGTAACTGAAACTGACATTTTTGGAAGGACCTGTGCAATGCAAATCTGCTCGCCTGAAGCATAAACTCCTTGGACATTAACTGTACATACGGGAGAGCCAGGACTTGAAGCATCCCAGTGCACAGTGAATATTTACCACTTGACACCAGCAGATCAGGATATTTTGTTTTAAGTGTTAGAGCTTTTGAAATAAAAGCAGAGAATCATTTTGGACCATAATAGGTAGGAACAACAGTAAGCTATTCAGCCTACAGAATCTGCTCCATCATTCAGTGAGATCATGGCTGACCTGAGAATCTTGAAGTCCACTTTCCTTCCTTATGCCTAAAACCTTTCATTTGCTTATTGATGAAAAATCCATTAATCTCATCCCTGAATATACTTAATGACCCAGACTTGACTGCCCCTACATCAAATCACTACTCTCAAAAGAAATTCATCCTAATCAGTCTTAAAGTACAATCCCTTGTGACAGTATGCCGTCTGGTCCTAGACTTTCTCACGTGGGGAAATAGGCATTCTGCTTCCACCCTGTCATAGAGTCTTAGTAGAGAAACAGATCCTTCAGTCCAACGAGTCCGTGCCAACAATGTTCCCAATGTAAACTAATTCCACCTGTATCTGTTTGACCCATATCCCTCCTAAATCTATCTTATTCATGTACTTATCCAAACATCTTTAAACATTAACTGTACCCGCATCCATCACACTCTAGCAATTCATTCGACACGTGAACGACTGTGTAAACAAAAAAAGTTACCCCTCATGTCTTTTAAATCCTTCTCTCACTGTACAGATATGCCCCCTATATTTGAACTCCCCTTCCCTAGGGAAAAGACCCTTGTCATTCACCTTATCTATGGCCCTCATGATTTTATAAACCTCAATGAGGTCTAAAAGAATCTTGAACGTTTAAATAATATCACCTCTTATCCTTGTTAAGTCCAACCTACTCTACCTATCCTCATAAGACAGTCCATGGTGTCTACCTAGAGAACCTTCTCTGGACTGCCTTCCATGCCAGTTTATTTTTCCTTTAGATAAGAGGCCCAAAATAGTATTCTAGCTGTGGCTGACTAATGCCTTGTATTGTCTTAGCAAAGCCCCCCTATTTCTGTGCTTCTTTCCCTTTGAAAGGCTAACATTCCATTTGTCTTCCCTGTTACCTGCTGAACTTCACTATTCAGGCAAAGGCAGATCAGGGAGGTAAACCTGTGGCTTGAGGAATGGTGTAGAAGGAAGGGGTTTAGATTTTTGGGACATTAGAATCACTTTTAGGAAAGGAGAAAGCTGTTCAGGAGAGATGGGTTTCATCTGAGCAGAAATCGAACCAATATCCTGGTGGAGAGTAAATAGTCTAGTAGGGGTGGATTAAAGTTGTAAAGCAGTGGGCTGGGTTGACCGTTGGGCCTAATTACGGAAGAATCATAGAATCCCTACAGTGTGGAAATAGGCCCTTCGGCCCAACAAGTCCATACTGAACCTCAGCATCCCACCCAGACCCATCCCCCTATAACCCACCTAATCTACACATCCCTGAACGCTATGGGCAATTTAGCATGGCCAATCCACCTAACCCCCACATCTTTGGACTGTGGGAGGAAACCGGAGCACCTGGAGGAAACTCTCACAGACACAAGGAGAAGGTGCAAACTCCTCACAGACAGTCGCCCCAGGCTGGAATCGAACCTGGGTCCCTGGTGCTGTGAGGCAGCAGTGCTAGCCACTGTGCCACTGTGCCTCCCTCGTTGAGGGGAAAGAGAGAAGATGGGAATGGGGGAAAAAGTGAGGCAAGGCTTGGTGTTGGTGGTGAACTATGAAATGGTTGCCTTCCAGTTGGAGAGGTTGGCAGCACTCCAGAGAGAGAAGTGCAGTGTTAAATTGTATGCATGTAAATGCACAGACTATAGTGAACAAAATTGGACAGTTGGAAGCAGAAATTGCTGTAGGCGTTTATGGCATTGTAAGTGTTGACAGAAATGTGGCTCAAACCACTTACGCAGGGTAGTTTGTTCTTAGTCGGACCATAGGTTGGCACAACATCGTGGGATGTTCTTGTGCTATGAGCAAACCAGAACAGGACTAATACTTAATATCCTGGGTTATAAGTCTTTTAATACAAACAGGATGAATAAAAAGGGAGGAGAAGTAGCAGTCTTGGTCAAAGGTATTATCTTTGCCCTTGAATGAGATTATGTCTGGAAGTGAGGAACAAGAAGCAGGTGGTGACTTGTTGGATATTTATTCTTGACCTCCAAATAGTGAAGAAGTATTTATAGGTGGGGCAAATATGGTATAATAGCTGGTGATTTCAATTACCCTAGGGTAAACTGGGAAAAAGATATGGGGCATGGAAGGGGAGAAATTCCTGTAGGAGAACTTTTTTGGAAAAGCACATTTCCAGTAAATGCTAGAGAGCGAGCTGTGCTGGATCTGGTCTTAGGAAAAGAGACCAAGTGGGGGAGCATTTGGGTAAAGGGGATCTTAATGTCATGTTCAATACTCAGTAGGAAAAGGATAAAAATCAGTCAAGATTCTCGACTGGAAAAAAACAGATTTTCAGGTCTGAAAGTTGAACTGGAGAAGGTTGATTGGAAACCCTTTCGATGGACAACACAGTGGATTAAAACTGGGAGAATTTCAAGAATGATTAATAGGGTGCAAGCTCGACATATATCCAAGAGAAATAAATATGGAGTATCCAAAGCTAGAGTACCTTGGATTACTAAGTATTTTGAGAGAAAATGAGGAAGAAAAAGGCATATGGTGCATACTGGAACGATGATAATAGCAATGGAAATCAGGAAGAGTCTCTTAAATGCAGGAGCGGGCCGAAGACGGGAATAAAAAAGGCTAAGAGGGAGCATGAGAAAAGGATGGTAGGCTGCTCTAAAACAAGTGTTAAAATGTTATTCATACATATTAACAGTAAAAGGTTAGTGAAGAATAGAATGGGTACTATAAGGAACAAGTAGAGTAAGCTGCTCCCTTAAGCAAAGGTTAATGTAAAGATACCAAATAAGTACTTGTTTCTGTCTTTACCAAATTAGAAAATGGTGGCCTAAATGGTGAAAATGTGGGTGTTGAATAACTGAGCAGCATAGAGTTGCTAAAAAGGTTGGCAGCACTCCAAATAGAGAAGTCACAAGGTGTATCCTGGATTGCTGAAAGAAGTAAGGGAGCAAACTAGGGAGCCATTAAGAAAAATTTTCCAAGCCCCTCTGAACACAGAATTAGTCCTGGGGGACTGGAGGATTGCAAATGTGACACTGGTATTTAAGAAAGGGTCAAAAGAAAGTCTGGAAAATTACAGACCTGTTACCTGACGTCAGTAGTAGGAAAACTGATGGAGGCCATGAAATGGGATACGGTAACCATACGGCTAGAGAAGAATAAGTTAATCCTTAATAGTCAACATGGCTTTGTCAAGAACAGGTCATGTCTGACATTTTATTGGGTTCTTTAAGGGTGATACAAGCAGCGGATGAGGGTAATGCTGTGGATGTTGTATATTTGGACTTTCAAAAAGCATTTGATATGGTGCCATGTGGCAAATTGGTTATCAAATTAGCAATGTGTGCGAATGAGTCCCTGGTAACATGGTTTAGCAGTTGGCTGAAAGATAGGAATCAGATGGTGGGTACAGATGGGCATTTCTCAATTTGGAGATGAGTTGAAAGTGGTGTTCCTTGGGGATCGATGTTGGGATCCTTACTTTTTCTGGTTGATATAAACGATTAGGACATGGGTGTTGAAAGCATAACCTCTAAATTTGTAGTTGATGCAAAGCTAGGGAGAATACTGAATTGTAAGGATGGCACTGACCAACCTCAGAGGGACATCAACAAATTGACTAAATGGGCAGATACCTGCCAGATGAATTTCAATGCCGAGAAATGTGAGGTAATGCATTTTGATAGAAGAAACACAGAGACAATGCAGACTTAAAGGTACAACTGGAGTATAGGAGCAAAGGGACATCTGAGTTTACGTGCGTGACTCTGAAGGTGGCCAGGCAAGTTGAAACAGTTGAAGCTTGTAGGATCCTTCGGTCTATCATCAATACAGTATAAAAGCAAGGAAGTGATGTTACACCTCTACAAATGATTGGTCATACCTCATTTGGAGTATTGTTTGGTTCTGGGCACCTTATTTAAAAAGGGATGTTATAGTCCTAGAGGAAGCTGTGGTGATTAATCTGGGTTATTTTGTCCTTTTTTTTGAGATTGAACAAGCGGTACTGAGCAGTCTGGAAGAAAGTAAACAGCTTGTGAACCTTGAGGTTTTTCTAAGTAGAACAATAGAAGCAGCCTGAATGGGTGTGGTTGAGTTCCCACAGATCAGAGTTTTTGTTTAGCTTTTAGCAGTCGCTGTTGGGGCCTTGAAGCGGAAGCTTTTTTTACCCTTGGTTATAGCCAAAAGCTGGGGGGTTTCTGCCTGCTATGGCAATTGAATGAGAGACCGTCTGTTTTCTGAATTTACCTTATTTGCCAAAGGTGTTTTCTATGGGATGTTACTATATTGAAACATTTAATTAGTAATAGTTATTGTATCTCTTATTCTGGTAAGTTTTCCAATAGCATTCAGTTTTCCAATTCCTCCTTTCTTTTGTACTTTAACTATAGTGAATAAATAAAGTGTGCTTTGCTTTAAATCTGGTAGTTTGACCAATCGAATTGCATCTGGAATGTAACACCTTAAATTTACCTTTTAAAGTAAGAAAAAGTTTGGATCCAGACTATCTACTGAATTCTTTGAGGGGGTTTGTTTTAGCCCATTACAAAGTGCAAAGGAGATTTACTAGAATGATACCAGGAATAAGAGATTTTAGATATAAGGAAAGGGGTGGCATGGTGGCTCAGTGGTTAGCACTGCTGTCTCACAGCGCCAGGGACTTGGGTTCAATTCAAAAGATGTGCAGGCTAAGTGGATTGGCCATGCTAAATTGCCCATGGTGTCCAGGGATGAGTAAATTAGCTAGATTAACCATGGGAAATGTGGGATTACAGAAGGTCGATGGGTGGGTCTAGATGGAATGCTCTTTGGAGAGTTTGTGTGGTCTTGTTGGGCCAAATGGCCTGTTTCCATACTGTAGAGATTCTATGAATCTATTAGAGAAATTAAGCTTAGTCGCCTTTGCATGGAGAATGAGACATGACCTTATTGAAATGTTCAAAATTATGAACAATTTTAACAAGGTAGAGAAGGATATTCTGTTTTCACTGTTGATATGTCAGTAACTTGGGGTCAGAATTTCAAGATTGTCAGCATCCCTCACTAACCTGTCTTTAACCCTCTGTACATGCTTTGTGTCATCCTCACCACCTGCTTAACCAGAGATAACAAGGTGTAGAGCTGGATGAATGATTTTCTGAAGAAGGGTCTAGGCCCGAAACATCAGCCTTCCTGCTCCTCTGATGCTGCTTGGCCTGCTGTGTTCATCCAGCTCTACACCTTGTTATCTCAGATTCTCCAGCATCTGCAGTTCCTACTATCACCTGCTTAACCCCTTTTTTTTTGGTATCTGCAAACTTGGCTACAGTAAATTCACTTTCCTCATCCAAGCCATTTTGTGTTGTACATAATGTCACCCCTACATTGATCCATGTGGCATACCAGTATTAGGGATTGCTGTCCTGGAAGTGCCTCCTTATTCCAACTCCAGCTTCTATTGAGTTCGGAGGAATGGTCACTTGATCCGAAACGTTAATTGTGATTTCTGTGCATTGATGCTGCCAGACCTGCTGAGCTTTACCAGCAATTTCTGTTAATGTCTCTGTCTTCTATTGGTTAGGTAATCTTCTATCAATGCTAATATACTACCTTCAATACCATGGGCTCTTAGCTTATCAAAAAGCCTAATGTTAATTGTTTTCTTTCTCCACAAATGGTACCAGACCTAATGAGTTTCTCCAGCACTTGCCATTTTTATTTCAGGTTTCCAGCATCTGCGTACTTTGTTTTTATTTGAGAGCTTTTGAAAATTTATTATGACAATGTTAAAAAGTATCATATAGCTTTCAATATGATTTGGGGAGTATTTTGTTCATTTTGATGCCATTTCTGTATTAATAAATTAGTTAAGGGCAAAAAAGAATTCAAGGATACTTACCTCACAGATATTCCCCTTTGTTTTCTTCATAGCAACTATGTGTTCAACTTTGGCAAACTTGGAGGGAGAAGAAACTTTTGAAGCTTCCATGTTGGGCCAGGCTGAGGAAGTGGTTCAAGAAAAGATTTGTGATGATGAACTGATACTGATTAAAAAGTAAGTAGGGTCATTGGGTAAAATGTGTTTTCTTTTCCAATAAATACTGGACTTTTCAAGTTTTGTTTAAATAGAAGCCTTTTAATATCATGTCTTCATTCACTTTTGGATATTTTTTTCTGCTCTTGAACATTTTTAACCTGTTAGACCTCAGCTAGATTATTGTGTACCGTTCTGAGT